GTACGCTCTCCTGTAGTGGTTCATTGAACCACAATGCCAACAAGTGATTAATAAAAGTCAAAAGACCAAAGAGGTCATCTTAATACCAAAAAAAAAAAAATTAACTAATTAAATTCTTTAATTTTGTACTAACTAAGAAAATTTTAACCAATCTAAGAAAACTTTATTATATATACAAATATATTTTTTTAAAATAATACAATAATTCAAAATTTTATTATAATAGATAAATAATTTTATTTATAATACATATTATAAAATTTTTTTCTTAATTAATTAAAAAATAAAAAAGTTTTATTAGTAACATATAAAAATTTTAAAGAGATATACAAATCTATATAAAAATAATCTATATATATTCTATCCTTAAAGAAATTATAGATGCCTCTAGTTAAAGATATTTAATTTATATATTTTAGTTAAAACAATAAATAATTTTAAGAAAATTATAATTTGGTGCATCATGTACCATAGTGCACCTCTTTCCTTTGATTGGCTAACAGATCATAATAGTGATTTACAAATTTCGTATACTGATGCATAATAATTGCATCTTTTTACTTCATAATTGTGCTAAAATATTACAATATCAGATATATATATGAATCTACATATATGAACAAGAATCTATTGCTAATTACAGATTTATTTAAACTTACAAAGCACTTTTTTTTATATAGATATAATAGGTTTGGCATATTGCCCTATAGTATTATAAGTTATATGGTTTGGGCTTCACTGTTAAAATTTTATATTTAAATTACAATTTCATCATTTCATTTTAATAAAGACTCAAGCATAACATATTACTAATCATTAAAGCTAACTCTTTTATTATTAGTTAAAATAAAAGATTGTAATAAACAAATATTAAGTGAAGAATTACCAGTAGTGACTACAGATTATAGTAAAGATGAAATCAACTTTGAAGAGTTTTTCAAGTTTAGTAAAGAAATAAATGATATAAGTAACTTATCTACAGAACCCATATCTTTGAAAGAAGGAGACTCTTTTATTAACTTTGATGAAGCAGAAGGTCACATACATTGATTTGCTGAATATAAGGGGTTTAAGGTTAGACGTGAATATATAATGATAATAAATACAAAGGAAAATGGGAAGGTAATTTGGAAAAGAACAATTCTCTGCAAACATTCAGGTTTATTTAAGCCAAAAAATGCCAGAAAAGCAAATACTTCAGCTTGATTATTATGCCTATGACATATTAATCTTTCATGTCCTTCAAAGGATAACCCTAGTTTGTACATTTTTGTTACTACATTTAATAATATTTATAATTATGATCTTTCATCTAAGCCTATAAACTTTGAAAAGAAGAAACAGTTCTCAGAAGAAATGTGACAAGAAATAGAGTTTCTTGTTAAAAAATGCCACCTTGGTGCAACTATGGTTTGGTGTATTTTAAAAGAAAGGCTTCCTTCTCATCCTATATTCTCCAAGGACCTATACACTGAAATTTAATAATTTTGTTCATCATATGATGTAATTAAAAGTGATGCATCTCAGTTTTATAAGGAACTGTTATCAAAGCAACATGAAGATTCACTCTGGTTTGTTGAAGCTATGTGAGAAGAAGAAACAAATATCTTGATTAACTTATTTTGGATGAGCCCAGAGCAAGTATTGCTGTGGTGTGAATTCGGAAATGCAATAGAGCATGATATACTTCAGGTACCAATAGGTACCATATGCCTCTCTCTTTATTTGTAGCTCAGGATGATAATATGCAATCACATATTATCACTCAAGCATTTGTTAGTAACGAATCAGCAGAAACATATCAGTAGATACTTTAAATGGCTAAAAAAGCAACTTATAATAAACATCCTTGTGTAATAATAGCTAACAGTGACCCAGCAATGGAATGTGCTATAAGTTTGAAGTATCCAAAAACACAACATCTTTTTTGTATCTGGCATATCAAAGAGAATATAAAAAAGATGTTGCATAGTAAATTAGAAAACTTATTTAATAAATTTTACTATAAATTTTGGCAATGTCAAAATGCAGATACTCCATAGTAAAGGCCTGCATTGGGTCTTGCAGCCTGGACCTGAAGCAAAATTTTATAATTGCAGGCTGGGCTGGGCCAAAAAATTTGCAAAACTTTATAATTGTGAGCCAATGCAGGCCTAAAAATTAGTAAAATTATATAAGAAATCTTTGTGGGCTGGGCCAGGCTAAAGAAAAAATTTAAGATATGCAGGATGGGCCAAGCTAACAAAGAAATAGTAACCCTAAATGCAGGCCAGACTGGGCCTAAAAAAAATTTTTAATTCTAATTGTGAGCTGGGCCAGGCCTCAAAAATAGGCAATTTGCAGGCCCCTACTTTACAGGTCTTTGACTTTTATTAGAATCAGCTTATAGCTTTTCAATCTGCAAAATTATATCTTGAATGTTGTCTTTATGAACATCGATTTTTATGGGCATATGCCTTTACTATTACAATCTTTATGCTTGGTATTCAATCTACATCATTTGTTAAAGAGCAGAATGCATGTATCAAAAGTGAATTAGAAAACAGTAACACTTCACTTTGTGATTTAGGTATTGTAATGTAATTTATTACTTTATTTGAATTTTTTTACTGGTAATTACCAGTATTGATCAAAAATTTAGTCAACTTTGTTTGTATTCTAAGTTTGTTTAGTTTATTTTTCACATTAACAAATCGATTAGTTAATTTTTTTTTGTTATAAGCAGGATCACTACTAGTTATACTAGTATATGTAATATTGGTTATTTTTTTTGTTAATTACATTTTCATTAAACACTTAGTTTTTTTTTTTGCTTAATTCTGTCTTTATTAAACTTATTAGGTTTTTAATTTAATAGTAGTATTTGTAGTTGATTTAATATTAGTTAGATGTAGATATTGGGAAATTCAGAATATACAGTAGCTTTTAATATTATGAAAGTCATGGTTCTGGTTTTTTGTTCTATTATATCAAAAGCTTTGTAATATTAAAATCTCATAACATTGATAGTTCATTATATTGAAAGCTACTGTGTATTGGTTTTTATATAGGAAATTGATTTAGTTGACTAAGCTGATTTTTAAATATCAGCTTAGTCAAATCAATAAATTTTGGTTAACTACAAATACTATTTAGGTATTAACTAGTAAATTTATATACCAGTATCTAATAGTTTTATAACATTCTTTAGGCAAGATATTAATGAAATAAAGTGAAGAAGAACAAAAAAAAAAAGCAATATGAAAAATAGAAATATAATATTCCTTCTTCAACTAGTAATATTACTATTTTCTCTGCAATTGAGTCATTGGTTAAACATTATTTAAGGCCAAACATGTCATGTTTTTTAGTAGAACAAATGAAAGAAGGTTTATATTATACTATCAACCAATCTTTAGTTGAAGAAGTCAAGCTACTTACAAATTATAAACCTATACCAAGTGAAGATTTAGAAGATGAGCCTGATGCCATTGCTTTGTATGCTATATATCTTTTAGAAAGGTTAAACCAAGATGTAATTAAGGAGGTTTGGAAAGTATCAAGGGTTACAAGTGATAGAACAAATTATTTTATATTCTTGCTAGCAGATGGTTTATATAGTTGTACCTGTCTTTTGCAACAAAGGAAAGAGTTAGTTTGTTAGCATTTTTTTTGTCTCTTAAATATTACTAATAAAATATGGTTTTGTTTACAGTTAATTGCAACTCATTAGATTCCAAGAGATAAGAGGTTGGACATAGCAAAAGAACATATACAATTTGGTTAACAGTTCAGTAATATAAATATAAGTGTTGATGTTAAAATCTTAGAGAGAAACAAAAATGAGTTTGTATAATTGCAACTATTTGTAGATGATAAGATAAAAGAAATCATGAATAAAAAGTTTATTAATAAAAGAATTTTTTATAGAAAAGTTTGGGGTATTGCACATATAGCAGTTAATAAATATGTATTATATCAAGATAATGAGTTTATTCATTTAGTTAAAGATTATTTAGAACAAGTTCATATTTAAGAAGATGAGTTGGTAAGAGTACAAGAAGCTATGACAAATGTTTCAGGTAAAAATAGTTCAGTACAGCTTGCAACCCTTATAAGGTAGCTGTCAAGGAAAGACCTAAAACAAGTTATTATAATAAAAGCATGTTACAAAAATTAAGTAGCAAAAAGAAACATGAATATACTTATGGATTCTGTAAAGAGTCTGGACATAATATTGCGACTTGCCTGAATAAGATATAAAGGTGTATTGTTGTATATTGTGTACTTGCTTATATCAATATTGATAGTTGAATGTTTGCATATTTGTATATAGATATTTTGTAGATTTGCATATTTGAATATAAGTATTTTTGTATATTTGCATACTTATATGTAGGTATTTTGCACGTTTGTATGTTTATATGCATTTGCGAGTTATATGTAAATATTTTTTTGCATTATATGTACATTTGTATATTGTAATTTATATACATTGTACTTAGATATTTGTGTAATAGTATATATGTAGGTATAGTTTTTTTGCTTATATTTGTATATTATATATTATTGTTTATTTGATCTATAAGAGATGTAGATTTATAATTAATGATTCGCCTTCTTATTTACATTGGCACAATATTACATTAATTTATTTTTTCTAAGTATTGTTAGTATAGATGTCGATTCAAATATTAATATGATTTTAATAATATTAGAGTTGGTTTTAGATTAAGTTGTTGAGTTAGTTCATATTAGGCTGAGTTAAGATAATTCACTACTTATTAATGTTAAGATTTATTTTTTTTTAACAGAAGTTTTGTTAGTATAGACATTGATTCAAAAATTAATATTATGAGATTGATTTTAATAATTAGAGTTTAGATTAGATTGTGTTTTATAGTTAGTTTTTAGATTTAGTTAAGATCAGTTTAGATTAGGCCAAGTTAGGTTAGTTTCATTAGAGTTGGTTTTTGTTAAAATTAGATTTAATTAAATAGTTTTTTTGTTTTGCTGGTTTGTTTATGTATGAAGCATGGTTGCTTGATTGTTGATGTTAATAAATTTGTATTGTTTAGACTAGTTTAGATGTTGTGTTTATTTGTCTAATCAAGTTAATTAAATTTTAGTTTAAATTCAAATAGTTAATATTTGATATTATTGATTCGGTATTACTGATGAAAAAAATTATTAGCTAATATAATTAGTATATTACTAATATATATGCAATTATATGACAGGTGCACCATGATGCAGATGCATCAAAAAAAAAAATTCTAATTTTAATTATATTAAAGTTTAAATTAAAATTTAGATAAAAGTTATAGCAAAAGTAAATATTATAAATAAAATTAATTTCTTAATATTTTACTTAATGTTTTAATATAAGTTAGATAGTTCATTGTTTTTTGTATTTTGTATATATATTTTGTATATTTTTATTAGTTAGTTTTGTTAAATTAATTTAAAAAAATTATATTTTGTATAATTATTATATTATATAAAAATATATATTATATAATATTTTTGTATTTTAATTAAGGAGTAATATATTTGTAGCCATAGCTACTATAGCCATATTTTATAAAAGCTAACCAATTTTAAAGATCAGGTGTAATATAACACAATCAGAAAATTTAAAACAAATATTCACTTTTATTAAAAATTATCAAAAATCATCTATAACTCAAAATTAAGTATATGAAACTATTCGTTAGGTTCTAACAAAAAAAAGTTCTTACAAAATTTTACTATAAAATATCTACTTTTACATGCATCCTATTCTTACATCAACTTAACCTTAATGAACAAATAATATAGTTATTTTAGTTACAGCTATAGTAGCCTATAGCTATGAATATATTAATTTTTTAATTAATTATTAAATAAAAATGTAATAATTTAATAAAATAAATAAGTTGCCAATTTTTTTTTTTTGGAATACCCTTGTTGTCATTACAACTAGGGGCACAAATGGTGCTCTTTTATTAAGATAGTATAAAAAACTTAGTTACTTTTTAGATATTTACATATTAGTTTAAAAGTTTTAGATCTAGTACTAAAAAAGTTGTTTTTTAGAATTCATATTTTCTTTGAAATGTGATTTCTAATAAGAGAGTTTAGGGAGTTAAAAGATGTATCTGAGTTTTTCCATTTTACAAAGGTATAATAACACTATATTTTATAGATTGCATTAATATGTAACCAGGTTAAAGCTGCTAGAGCCTAAGAACAGGTATTGTTAAAGGCTTAAAAGATATCTTTAAGTGAAGATAATATAAGTATTTCCTCATTAATATTAAGAAAACTGTATGCTTTCTTCCAGATAATTATACTATGAGAGTGTTCTAAAGCAAAATGTTTTATAGTTTGTACTTTATTTGAGCACTAAGTATAGTTTTCTGTTTTTGATGATTTAATGTGTCTTAATTGATAACTAAGTAAGAATGCTCTGTAGAAAAGATGCCAAAAAATATCTTTTTTCTTGTTACAGACAGACTTTAAAGAGAGCCAAGTGGGCTGAGACATTTGTAAAGATGTTTTTAATATAGTTAATAGAAGAAAAGATTCTTTTAAAAGTTCCAAAATTTTTTTAACTGAGAGTTCATCTTCTTTAATTTCTCTAATTCTAATTTCATTACTATTTCAAAGCTAGTTAGAAGTATGTGAGCCTCTTGATTAGAGAAAAGATTATGTACTAGGTTTATAAATTTGTGATTGAAGTTTATGTTCTTCAAAGTTAGTTTTAAAAAATCATGATTGATATAATCAAATGCTTTTTGTTGATCAATAAAAAGTAGCCAATGTTGTTTAAAAGAATTTACTTAGTTTCTTAGAGTAGTAATAATATCAAAAGCTGCATCTGTAATAGATCTGTTTTTGATAAATTTATATTGTTAGTGAGGTACTATCTTTTTATATATGAGGTTGAGATGATTGGCCAAGATTTTTATAAAAATTTTGGCATCACTATTAACTAGTGATATTGGTTTCCAGTTGTTTACATTTTTAAGATTTTCTGCTTTTTTAGGTATTAGTAAATTTAAACTTTTATACCAAGAAGTTGGCATGACTTCTGAGCTAAGAACATAATTAAAGATACTGTAAAGAACTAGTGTTATTGACTCTTCAGTAAGTTTATAAAACTCATATATTAATCCATCTGTATTAGAAGCCTTATTGTTTAGAAGGTTTTTAATAATATTGCTAATTTCCTCTTATGTGATTTCTTGAATAAGAGATGAGTTATATGTAGAAAAACTTGTAGCAGGTTTTTAGTAATTTTTTCTGCTGAGCTAATATCTATATTCTCTTTTCTATAAATTTCTGCATATTTTCCTCTTATATAGCAAAAAGTGTTTTCTCTTGTTTGTCATAAAGCTTTAAAATCTTTAATGTTCTTTAATGCAAAGCTAGTTTTTCTTGTTTTATATCTGGCAAAGAAGTATTTTGTAAATTTTTCTTCTTGTTCAATCCATTGGACTTTAGAACAAGTCTGCCACTTTTCAGCAAACTAAAATAGTTCTTTCTAAAGGTCTGAGTTTAGCATATTAATTTGTGAATATAGATAGCTGTTTTCAGAATTATGTGCTAGTCTTTCTTTTAGTTGAATAATGTTTTTGTTTAGTTTTGTGATTTTGTTTTCTGTTACTCTTGGTTTTCTAAAGGCTCTAATAATAGATTGTATGTGTACTTTGTGGAAGTTCTAATCTTTTACATTTTTTAAATCTGAGATTTTATCTAGTATTTCTTTTTTTAGTTTTTTGTTCTTAAAGCAGTTTTTATTAAACCTTCAGAGAGCAGATTCTTTGCCTTTAGGGTTGAAGTTTAGGATGCACTCAACCAGTAGATAATCTGAGTTTTCAAATTTTGTATTAACTTCTAAGATTAAGTGAGTATTGTTTTTATCTACAAAAATATAGTTCAAATATGTAGCCATAGTTTGATTGCCTTGAGTTTTCTGAAAAAAAGTATAGAAAGGCTTTGTTTTTGCAAAATTAGAGGAATCTAAGAAATTTTTAGTAAGATCTTAAAATTGTGCTTTTGTAGTATTACATTGTGAAGCTGCCTTGCTAATTCTATCTCTTTCTGAATAAAGATTAGTATTGAAGTCACCTCTGATAATATTAATAGCATTTTCTTTAATATAAGGAGACCATTTTTCAAAAAAGCATTTTCTGTCTCCTGGGCTAGGTGGAGCATATATGCTAAAACCTTGAAATGTAAGCTCTTTGTACTTAAAGTTGGTAGTGATTATTCTATTATTTAGATCCATTTCAATGTTTTTAAAGGTTATATCTTTGTTGGCTACAAGTATAGCTGTTTTGTTTGTCCAAATAGAGTCAAACATCTATTGGTTTTTAAGAAGTTTTGTGTACTTTCATCATTTAGATTTGTTTCTTGTAGCATAATAAGGTCTAGTTTATATGATTTTAAAAAAGTTAAAGTGTTCTGTTGTTTTTGTTAATTGTTCAACACTTTTACATTAAGAGTTGCTATTTTGAATTTAATGTAATTGGTCGTAAACAGATTGCATAGTAATACAGAATTAGATCTGAGAGTTCTGTACTCCATTATGAAGATTTCTGTATAGAGCCTTTCTGATTGGCTCAGCCTTTTGTTTTGTGAAACCTTTCTTATTTTTTTTTCTTTTATATGAAACAA